AACAGATCTACTAATTGCCTTCATTTATTCATTTGGAAGTCAAATTCGGTTGCAATTGGCACCCCCCCAGCCCATTCATGTGTAAGACCTTCCCCATCGACATCCATACGTATTTTTGCTCCAATAAAAGTATCCTGTCTTGTTAGCTTTAGGTCACTTGGCCTTTTTGGATCCACACATTGTCATTCCATTTCAAACTACATCCATTTCATAGGTTAAATTTTGCAGTTAAATCTTCTAAAATCTTTTAAACTATCCATGTCCAGGCCCGGTCTTTATAATTACTTTAATGACTTCTGAAGATAAATAATCATAACAGAGAGTAAGCTTCTATACAGAGAAGTTTTTGGTTCACTGTATAGCAAAACAGAAGATAAGATCTAATCATTAATTAATTAATATGGTTTGTATGATCTGGTCTGTACTTTGGATTTATATGAACAAGCAACTGAAAAACAAGTTTCTATATTTTGTCAAAGCAAATACACAGAGCAAGAACTCTGTTCAGTTTCTTTGTGTTTAGGTCGACTTTGCATCAGATTTTCTTTAGTGATCAAAGAGTCGGCGGTGTAGGTTGCTATGGGTTCGGACTAGTTTCTGGTCAACATTTCTAGGCTTTAATCTTGGTCTTAAAAAACAGCAACATAGTACTGTTAAGACAACACTTAAAATGAACTTAGTTAAAGCAGAAATAGGGCTAATAACAAGTTAAACAGAGACCCTTCTTATCCTGTCGGGCATGTTTAATATTTTGATGCATTTTGATGTTTATCTTAATTTTGATACAAAGGTGAGCATTTTTTTTCAGTGTTTTAATTGTAATAAAATACCAACATATTGACAGCCATGAAGTAGATTATATATCATGATATAATTGTAATATCAATAGACACATGGTTTGTATGAAACATAGCTCCAAAGCTATAAATGTACGACGTAGCATGTAGGTGCATCAGTTTCCACGCTTTAGGTGGGAATTCCATTTCTAAATACTCCTGCTGATTTCTTTTCCAGAAATCTAAGATGATTTGTTGGCAGAAACTTTATTTCAAGCTTTTTTTTGTCTCCACAAACTTTGAGGCTAAGGAACCATGCATGTCTCAGCACAGCCCGATTATAATCATGAGGGCAGAAGTTGTTATGACTACTGCAACTCATACAGTTTTCCGCCCCCGTGGCCTTATACTGTTATTGCCTTTGTGTAGCCTTATAAATCTAGGCCAGTGTAACAACAACAGCAACAAGAACAACAGCAAAAAAATGTTTTTATCACCTCTGATGCGAGTGACAATGAATCCCATTGTTGACTAAGTGTGAGAGCAGAAATCCAGCTTCTGACCTTTAGAAGGATCGCGGCACAGTCTGCCGGCGGCGCTCACGATCTCACACAAATGTGCAGCCAGAAGAAACAAACAAGGCAAACTTGAGGTGAATGCTGTTTGTGCTAAATCTGATATTTATGCGATGATAGAGAGATTTGTCCCTACAAATCCACAAACGTCTTTGCAAAAACTTGTAATGAAAATTCTAAATGAAAGAAACACTTTTTTTTCCATTTGAAGGAACCAAAATTAAAAACAATCCGAATCATAAAATAATAAGTGACTTTGAGAGCAAGTAAAACATCTCTAACACTGAGCTAAAGACTTTGTTATAACATTTAATGCTTTAAAAGCTGGTCTAAATGATCGATTCAGTTCCACTCATCTTGATCCAGGTCAAAGAGTTATGTTTATGGTGAACAAGAGCATGGCTTCTCACTCTTTTGCATTGTGATTGGTGCCCATCAGGAGCCTGCATCTCCCCCAGAGTCCTTGGCAAACCCATGTTCCTTCATTGTGTGTTTGTGTGTGTGTTCATGACTCACGTCTAGGCCGGAGCGTGTCTGTGAGTGGTGAGGCGGAGAATTCAGCAGGGAAGACTGCGCAGGGCGAAGAGCTGTCTCCATAATCCAGGGTAAACACAGAGCAGCATGACTGCACGCCTCAGACGTGACCAAAGCCAGGAGAACAGAAATGGATGAAATGATGAGGCTGCCGCTCCCCTGCATGCCTGGCCACTTTTGCTCCAGTTTTCGCCCCTGTTTTGTAACACCTCGGAGGATTTGAGAGGTAGATTCTCAACACTAAATTAACCTCGGGAAGGCACCGCAGGTGTCGACTGTTTAAGGTCACACCAGACTCAAACCTCGCTCTGCAAATATCAGTTAATCTGCTATTTACTGTCAGATCTCAAGAGCATACGCCTATTTATTATTTCAAGCAAAGTAAAGTTCTGGAAATCCTGCAGAAGTTCAAAGTGTAAATCACAAAAAAAGATCTGTATTTGGAAATTTATTTGAAAAGAAATTTAAACCAATGGATCCCTCATTGACACCGCTAAGCAGGGACGACTCAGGCAGGAAACACAAAAGCATTCAGCTGTTTTATTTTATAGTAGCTCAAGATCAGACACCAAGGGTTCAGTCAGATTTTCATGATCTAATTTTCAAAAGGCTTTTTACAACACTGTGTGGCATTCTGTTGTGGCAGATCCAGAAAAAGGAATTGCACCATGAAGCAAAGGCCTTTCTTTGACCAACACTGTGGGCTTTCAGCTTGATTAAAAATCATCACAAAAGGCAGCAGAAATATTAAACTTGCTTTTGAAAAATATCAAATAAAATATCCTGAAATAAAATGTTAGAATTAAAAGATAAATTGGAACACTGCAGGCTTCAAAGCTGATGATTTGAGGGAGTTTTTAGTTGGAATTTTCTGGATGACGTTTTGACCAAAACAGATAAAATGTAATTTTGAGAGCCAAGATGTTCTGCCAAATCTCAGCGCCTAGAGAAATAATCCAAGCACACTCAAATTTGAATATCCAGTCAATGGAAATAGAAAAAAAGAGCAAGAAATTCCTTTGGTTATTTTAAAAATTAAAATTGATTCAGTTAAGTCTGTGTAAGTGTCATATGGTAAAGCTAGCACTGTCTTCAAATATAAATGCTTCAGTAAAAGGTGTGACAGATATTACTCTTCAGTGGCCAATTACCGGTGGGGTTGCTCATACTGAGGCTGCCAAATTGAGCAGAGTAGGTCGAGGCACTTGAGTGACTTGTCCTGCTGCGTGAGCTTTGTGGGGACAGATGGACAGAAGATGCTGGAGTGGAGCTTAATTCAGCCCAGCCTACTCAGTAACAGTCCATCCGCTCCTTCTCTGGCTCCAGCTCAACTCAGCTGGACATCCTGTTAGTCAGCTAATGGAGAGCCCCCAACGCATCAAGACCCCCATATTAGGATCTGACATGGCTGTCTTCATTTAACCTTTACTTATAAGTCTAACTGTGATAACACTGTTTAGGTTAGCACCTGCCAAAAAAGACAGTTGGGTTTGAGATTAAGTCTTTTAGCGTTTGGCTGGAAATGTACAGGTTTTTAAACAGAAAAACAGTTGAAAAGTTTTCATGTATTTCCGATGGGGTTATGCAAAGTAAAGTTAGGAAATTCTTTCAGATCTGGGTTGGAGAAGCTTCTCATAGAGCATAGATGACATATCATGTGATGGGAGAGTCTTAATGTAAAGATGTTTCTTTATAAAATCTGCCTTCAAGCAAGACCAAGAAGCTCAGAGGTTGATAAAAGAGTTGTTCATAACATGGATTCAACCAACCCCTGTCTTCACAAAGATGAATCTACATGCTGGTAGAATTTGTGTTTGCCGTTGTGTATTTCTGAACAAATCATTTCAAATGAAGTCTTCTTTCTGTGACCAGAAAGAAGCTGATGTCAAAACCTTTTGTTCATTTCAAACTAAAGTTTCACAGAAAAAAGTGAAAATATTTTGTAATTTGCTTTTTTTTCCCGATAAAGTGAAGCAGTGGTTTTCTCTCTGTCTTATACCAAATACCAAATTAGTAAATACAACAATTTCCCCAGGCAAGGGATGAATGAACACATTAAATAAAAAAGAAAAGAGAAGAAAAAAAAAGAAATAATTATACATTGACACTGTATAATTACCTTCACTTGCTCCTGATTCATTGTCATCAAATATATCACAGTGATACTTATAGAACAGTTTGAGAAAGACTGAAGTTGACGCAAAGTTGTGGAATCACTGAATATTTTTCTGAGAAGAAATACATAAATAAACAACTCAATAATCACCAGGAATCATTTTTACTGATGGATGTTTACATCTCTTTCACAAAACATCTTGAAATTAAAAAACACATTTTGATGATAAATTATTTAAACTTCATCAGAAACATTTTCATCTGACTGAATAACAGAGACAAAAAGAAACTTCCTAAATAAATTAATATGTGGATTAAACCAAGCATTCACATATGTAATGTAAACCTTCTTTGAATCAATCATATGTTTGCCAGACATTGTTTTTTCTGGGGAAATACCCACATAAAATATGGTAATGAAATTAAACAGAGAAGTGTATAGGTTGATGCTGGCTAGCCCTGAATCTCTAATGACTCTCTGCCATCCCTGGAAAAAGCCTGTTTAATTTAGGAATCAGCCGCAATGGAGTGATTAATTCCTCCTGGATTCAACCACTTAAATGAACAAGACAGGGGGGATAAGAGAAAACATGGAGCCCAAAATATGGAGGCCTAATTAATGCATTCACATCATTTAATTAGCCACCCAAACAGGAATGCACGCTTACATTGTGTCATCGCTTTGTCTGAGTGGCGAATGGCAGGCTGGCTTGTGTTGTCTTACAAAGCAGTGAATATAATGAGAATCCCTGTTGAAAGAGAGAATATTAGACCGTCTCGCTGTTCAGTAAATATGGGGAGATAGTTAGAACACATGATTACTTGTTTCTTTGATTTTTCTTGCATCTGACTAAGCAGAGATAAAGGAAAACACAAGCTCATCCATTTCTAGGTCTTGATGTGAAGTGTCTCATGATGTATTAAAAACAAAATTTTCTCAATTGAAAGAATCAATGATTTTTTATATTTACAAGTAATTCTCTCATCTTTTCTTTTTCAGAATGATGTGAAGATTCCTTAAGACAAGGCCACTTCTGAGCTCAATTTTCCTCAGTCTAATCCTCACATTTGCTGGTACGCAACCCCATTTATCTGAGCCAGGCATTCAGTGGAGCCCTGTGGGGATGGGGACATGCTCAGATAAAGGATGGACTTACGACAGCCTTACGAAAGGTCACCACCCTCCAAAGGTTATGTCATGGCCTCTGGCCCTCTGTCTATTGACTCTAGTCTTTTTGAATCAAAAGACGACTCTTGGACAGACAATGAACACCTTCCAGTCTGAGAAGAGGGAATGGTCGTTGAACCATCTGACAGTGCATCAGTCCACTGGGACTCTGTACATCGGAGCGATCAACCGGATCTACAAGTTGTCCGCTAATCTCACACTTTTGGTATCTCATGACACAGGACCAGAATATGATAATAAAGCATGTTATCCTCCCCTGATAGTTCAGCCTTGTTCTGAGCCTTTGGCCTCTATGGACAATGTCAACAAACTGCTGCTCATCGACTACTCTCACAACCGGCTGCTGGCCTGTGGTAGTCTCTATCAGGGTATCTGTAAGCTGATGAGGCTAGACGACTTATTTATTCTCGTAGAGCCCACACACAAGAAAGAACATTATCTCTCCAGTGACAACCAGACAGGAACAATGTATGGGGTTGTCGTTCCTTCCCAGGGACAGGATGCTACTCTGTACATTGGCACTGCCGTTGGCGGCAAACAGGATTACTTTCCAACTATCTCCAGCCGTAAGCTCCCTCGCGACCCAGAGTCCTCTGCCATGCTGGACTATGAGCTTCACACTGATTTTGTTTCATCTCTAATTAAAATCCCTTCTGACACGTTGGCTCTTGTTCCGCACTTTGACATCTACTACATCTATGGTTTCTCCAGCGGAAGCTTTGTCTACTTCATGACCGTCCAGCCAGAGACTCCAGAAAATGGAATGCCTGCAGGGGGCTCACCTGGTGACCTGTTTTACACATCTCGAATCATCCGCCTATGCAAAGGTGACAAGAAGTTCCATTCATATGTCTCTCTTCCTGTGGGGTGCGTGCACAGAGGTGAGGAGTACCGTCTGCTGCAGGCTGCTTACCTATCTAAGGCCGGCAGGGTGCTGGCTAAGTCACTCAACATCAGTGCCCAGGAGGATGTCCTCTTTGCTGTGTTCTCTAAAGGACAAAAGCAGTACCGTGATCCATCAGATCATTCTGCTCTTTGCATCTTCACTATCCAAGACATCAACATGCGCATTAAGGAGCGACTGCAGTCCTGCTACCAGGGAGAGGGGAACCTGGAACTGCACTGGTTGCTGGGAAAGGACGTACAGTGCACAAAGGCGGTGAGACCTCATATCACACATGTCTGTAGACCAGTCACGTAAACTCAGCAGGTGTGAAGAAAAATGCTCAGATTTAACAAAAGATATTTTTTTTGGTGTTCCATAACTGTGATTGTAACTTTAACAGCTAACAGGCAGTCAGTCTGGTCTGTGCTAAAGAAAGCATTCAGGTCTGAGAATCCTAATATAGTGGTAGAGCTTGGGGAGATAAATTCCACAATGCTAATCAGGGGAGTTTTGTATAGAGCTTTGATTTCATTCAGGGGATTGAACACTGATTCCCACCTCCTTTTCCACCTCTCTTTTTGCCTTTCTCTCCCTAATTTTCTTCCTCCTGCTCTTGTCACTGTCAGCAGTACTTGAGCCCTTCGAGACCTGTTCTTGATCTTGAGAAAAAGACCTTTCTTGTAAATGCCCAAGTCTGAGTCTTTGTGAAAGCTGGAATTCCGCATAATGAGTACCTCTCATGGAAATAAGCTGAAAGTGAACCATAAAACACATTAAAATCCATCACATAAATTGCTCTGATGATTCATAACTCAAACATTAATTCCATTGTGTCTAAATAAGATGTGATGCTATTCAGAAAAGCCACTGATAGGGAAAAGTGATATGTTGTAATTCAACAATAATTTCCCACTGTGAAGCAAGCTCTTTGTATCATAATTGGACTTTTAGGAAGAAACGATTGGTTGCTGCTGACTGTTTTTTGAACACACGATTAATTATCAAAAATGATGAACATTAAAGTGAAACTAGACTTGCAGAGTGAATTGAATGCCAGTACTGACATCAAAAGCAATCATTAAAACACATACTTGGAAAAAAACAAGATTATTGTAATTTTCTTCCAGACAATTAAGGAGATACAAAAGCAACAGTTTTAAAACCTTTTAGTTAAGTGGTTGTTAAAAATTCTGGAATTTCTTTAAGCCCGTACATGCAAAGGGAACGTAAGAATGCATGCTGTACACTGGCACATTTTTGACATGCACCAATCAAAGATGTCAGACTACTGATTTTGTAAAGCTCTGAGCAGCCAACTACAACTTCAGCAATTTGATTTCTCTCTAAAAACCTTAAGTGATAGTACATTTCTTGCTGTACTTTGAAAGATCAACTGTAGTAACAAGAAGATATTAATAGCAAAGCGGGATATAAGTTAAAAAAACCAACAAACCCCCCCCCCCCCAAAAAACAGCCAAATGTTACAGAGTAGTCTGTTGGATTGCTGAAGATCCATAAATATATATTATGGAATGAAGTTATGGAATGAAGGTATTTATACACAGAGTGAAATTAAACCAGAAAGTCTGACAACATGTAAATACATTTTTTTTCTTCTACTGAATATCACTTGCTTGTTTCACCTTTTCTTGAATATCTAAAAATGTAGAATGGCACCATATCCCAAGATTTCCAGTTTGTTGGTTGGCTACAAAATCATTTAAAAAATAATTAAATGATCTTTAACAGCAGTTTTCTGCTGTGAGGTTTGGTGGAAAACTGTTTTTAGGTACCTGTTAGCATGGTTAGCATAGTTAAAATTAGCCAACCCATACTAAATGATAATCTCTGTGTGTTTTCTACAGAGTAAATACACCCTCATCTTATCTGTGAGAGTTGTACAAAATATTGCTTACTTTTCTATTCCAACAACTAGACTCTTCAAATTGATAGGACAAAGCAACTGTGGTGTTTTCTTGAAGCAACACAGTTGTGTAGCTACAAAAGAAACCAAAAAAACAAACCAAAAAAAGAAATAGTTCTCTCTCGTATACCTTTCTGCAATCCTACTTTCAAACACTTTATTGACACACAAAATATGTAACCAAGTCTTCCTTCAATAACATTCAAAACACTGAAGGGCATCATTGTTAATATGGACTGATTAAAGAAAATAGACTTTTGGTTTCTAATTAGCTGAACATTGATAAAGTTAAAGATAAAATCATCCTATTCTCGTTACAGGTCAATTTCCTCATACATTTCTAATTGACCCCGTTAGATAAAATCTATTGGACAGAGAGAGAATATCAAGGCTTAAAACTATTGCTTGTTATGCTGAAACAATAATATTTCAGCAGTATTCAAACTATCTTGGTGTTTCATTGACTTGTAGGCTAACAGCAGGATGGAGCGGGAGATGGCCACACAGATTCAGGCCTTGTCTCCCATAATGGGGCAGTTAATCCAGTCTGTTGTGGTGAATAGTTGAGCCAAAAAGCAAAGCTCTCAAATTCACCGTCTGTTCATTCTCCAGCTCTCAGCTATGGCCATGAAATGTGGATCATGACTGAAAAAACATCATCCAGCATAGTTACCGAACTGAGATTCCAATATTGGGTGTCCAGTATTAGTCGCATAGATATAGAATGGAGCACTGTTGTCTGAGGTGTCGAGCAGCTACTGCTGCTCCGCTGGTTGATATAGTTCAAGCATTAGATTGGGATGAGTTTGGATGCCTCCATTCAAAGGTTTTATTGGTTCGTCCTACTGGGAGGATCCCTTGGGAAAGACCCAGAACACAGAATGGAGCGACTATAAATCCCTTCAGGCCTGAAAACACCTTAGGATCCCCAGAGTAAGCTGCAATGTTGCTGGAGAGAGGGATATAGTCATCCCTCCCCCAAACCCAATCTAAAATGTATAAAACATGATAGATTGATGGATAGATTGATAATTTATGGTTTAATTAATTCATCTCTTGTTGATTTCATTTGTATTACACTAAAGCTGATCGCTATATACTATCCTTGAAATAGAAACAGTCAATAAGCTCAATGTTTTAGATCAGAAGAAGAGATGTTGAAAATGTTTTAAAATGCATTTTTTTTCCTAAAATGAAGGTCAGAAGAAAAATTAGTTGGATGGGGCAAGATATCAGGTTTATTTATGCTGAACTTGCTGCAAAAATCAAATTTAGTAAAACTCAGGCACGTGATTTGATGAAAGAAAAAAAATCGCATTAAAGCCTAACATGAGCATAAAGAAATAGAAGATGTGAAATAAGAAATTAGCAGGTTTAAAATGTGTCTTTTACACTAAGTGACAGACAATTAGCGAAGGTTTGAGGTGCATGTTAGAGGATCTGGAAGGACTGCCGAGCGTTCAGGCTCTCTTTGATGCTTAATCAAAACTCGACATCTCTTGTGCTATGTGTTTGTGTGATGTCAGATCAAGCAATCTGAAAATCACAGAAACAGGCACAAAATACACTGTTTTCTTCTTTTTGCCATAAGCTATTAAGTCTGCTCCATGAATCTGCTGGCTCCAAGGCTTGTTAAAAAGCCCGGCAGCCCATACCCTTTTGATGTAACATTTTTAACCCTGAAAATGGTGCACTTAATGCTTGTTAGGCTTACCATGCATCAGTTTGAATTTACATTCTATATTCACGTGTCTACGCTGACATCAGTATTTCACAAATAGTCTTCTCCTCTGTAATTATCTCTAGCTCCTTTGTTATATTTCTTCTCCTCAGTAACATTTCTGTTCTTCCCTACATTCCCCTCCTGAATGTTTTTCTCCATGCAACACCTTTAAAAATGCAGCTCTCGTCTTTCTTTTATTTTATTTATGGTTTTCTTATGCTCACCCTGACGTTCTTGGTGTCTCCTTCCAGCCTGTTCCCATTGATGATCACTTCTGTGGCCTGGATATCAACCAACCCCTGGGTGGCTCTCAGCTGGTGTCTGGTCAGACAGTGTTCACTGAGAGACGGGACAGGATGACCTCCGTCACTTCCTATATCTACAACGGACACAATGTGGTCTTCTTGGGCACAAGGAGCGGACGCCTGAAAAAGGTGAGAGCAGCCATAATTTTGCCTAGGATAGATTTCTTTATGTCTATTCTGCATTTCATTCGATAAATTTCCACTTTGCAAAGCCCAGCACTGTTGACTGCAGCTAAACAGGTATTTAGTGTTTTTCTGAATATTTTCTTGGGCTGATGAAGTGACAGTATAGTGATGATTTGTTTCCTTAAAAAAAAAAAAAAAAAAAAAAAACAGCTTTAAAGTATTTTATTCCATTAATTTCAGTTAAGAAATCTGAAATAGATTATCGTTAATGTAATTTATTTGTAATTTCTTCTTTCAGGAGGGAAAGTAAAAGAATTCAAATTAACAAAACAAAAAATATTAAATACATAATGAAAAAGGCACAAAAAAGAAAGGCACACAAAACACCTTTAATTGCTTTTTTAAAAAATCCTCTCCCATGTTGTTTGACACTTACTGGATCAAAACAGTATTTTTCAAGGTGAGCCAACTTGATAGGTCTAAAATGCATAAATAATAGTAAGTAAAAGGATTTAATAGAATTATTTTATAACTGAAAAAAGGGAAAGAGAGAAAGACAGAGGTGAATGAACCTGTGTCTCCAAGTTTATGAAGCAAAGTGGGCATAGGTCTTTGGAAATACGAAGACATAAAAACATTTAACCTGATTTCTAAAAGGTGCTAACAATACCTCTTATGTTCAGTCGATAATTGCTTTTTATTTCCATCTGTAACGGTTCCAAAACACCAGCTGGTTTCACTGGGTGTTATTTCTTTGAAGAAGTGCCATGATCATTAGAAAACTTTTACCTTGAAACTTTTAATAAACTCAGTTGTAAGTTTTGATATATTTGGCTATTGAAGCTATCGTTTGACTTTTTAATCTCATGTTTTTCACTTTTTGTTTTGTTTCATTTATGTACCGGTGTGACACTGAAGCATCAGTTTATGTTCTTAGTTGTTCCCAAAAGTCTTACAATTTTTTCAGTACTTTTGAAAAACTTTCAACAAGCAAATCACTGAGACTTTTTTCTAATCTCTGCTTTTGAACGCTTACAATTATTTTGAATTAAATAAGTCATCTACATAAAAAGGTAAAGCTGTGTACTTCTAACTTTCTTCTACTCAGAGTATCAAATAAGTTCTTTGTTTAAACAATAAAACCTTGATCTTTCTATGTAATCACTGGGAACATGGCACTGAAAGGTGACAGACAAGTGGTCAAATGAAGCAAATTGTGAGCCCAAAAATATCTGGAGAATGCTTGATTATTCACTCTTAAATTTCAGCATGATGCTGTACAAACACACAAAATAAAACGTTTTATCGATGAATTTGAGACACTGACAACATAGCTGTGAAGCTTTGAGTTGAAAGGAACACTTCAGCGACTTAGTGCACTTTCATAAACATTATTGATGTGTAAGAGACAGACCATGAAAGGAATTGTACAAAAATACTAAATTTACTTGTCTTGTTTTGAGAGAATGATGTATTCTTTTTATTAAACCTTCTCAGCCTCATAAAGTACTACTCTTCAGATCTTTATAATCAAATTATTTCTTAAAAAAACCCAAAAAGAATGAGGTCTAATATTTCATCTTAATCTTCTAAACAATAATACCTTAACAAGTTAACAAATGTGTACAATTTGATACATAAAATTAATTGAAAGTGCCTCTGCTGTGACTCATTTTAAAAATTGCTGTATTAAACATTTAAAAATATTTTTCAGTTAATATAGAAATGCTCATCACACAGACACATCTGTTGCCTCTTTTGTATCTCGCATTCTCTGATGTCACATGATCCTTAATCCATTAACTGTAATTAATGCAATAATCCTCTTAATTATGATCTATTTAGCATAACTGGGTATGTCAAGAACATCACGATGATTATGTTGGGACATTATTCATTTGCATAAAGATGCTGCTACCATACAATTCAGATATGTTTTTGCTACATCCTTCAGACTGTCACAAATTGATGTAAATCTCTGGTTATGGCCACTTGAGCCAAATCTGAAGAACATAAATGTTAATTTATTCCTTTCTTTTAATTAAATATAAGAGGTCATTATGCACCTGTAAAAGCTTTTATAAAATTATGTTCTTTCAGGCTTTTTATTAAAAGTGAATGCATAGACCACTTCAGAGATTGAAACATTATTTCTAATGTCTTCCTATACATTTAAATACATAGCTATATGAAGCTGTGGAGACAACTTGATGTTCTTAATGAAAAAGCTAAAAGTGTTTTCTTCTTTTTTTTCAACTTTATTTTTCACTTCATCAAAGGTGTGAAAGAATAAATCTGTGGCTATGCTCAGAGGAGTAATGAGCTCTTCTTTTTAAAACCGATTTCATTTCTTTGGTGCAGATCATTGACCCCAAATTATTTTTTGAGACATGCCGAGTTATCAGACAGAAATGCTCTTTGTAAAAGTATTATTACCTCTTAAACTATTTAATGTTTTGTCATGTTACAATGCAAACTTAAAATTGAGGAGAAAATTATATTTGTTTCCCATATAATAATAATAAAAAAAAAATCTGAAATCTGAGTCAGTACTTTGTAGAACCGCCACTTGCATAAATTACAGCTTAAAATCTTCTGCGATATGTCTCTACCACCTTTACACGACCGAGGTTTGTAGGGGAACTAGAGTTTGCTTTTGTTCGACTCGCAGTTCGATTCCTCATTCACCCCTCCCCAAACGAACCAGACTTTCCAGACTCAAACAGAATAAACACAGTTGATGTGACTGCATTCTTAAAAGCTAAAATCAGTATGCATAGTCTCAACGCCTGGAGACATTTATTTCTACACGCACTCTTATGGTGAGTTTGAAACTCATTCACATTCATTGATTCAATAATATGAGGCAAGCAAACGTAGCAAGGCCATCAAACTATCGTGTAGATGAGGAGCTCTCTCCATGATCCTGATAAAGCTGATGCAGCTCATTGTCCACCACGGTCATTCCAAGTGCATCTTGTTTGGCTTTATTATGGTCAGGCTTCTATAAGAGTCAGTTTTGCATCAGAACTAACTTTAAAGGACACTGGGCCCTGCTTATTGCATAGACAACTGCATGCAGCTGACTTAGGAAATGTGTGAGAGGACTGTTGTGACATTAGCCTGGGGGTCTCAGTCTTATGAGAAGCAATCTGTCTGACACACAAGAAGCACATACACACACCGGTCCAGACTAGGGGCACAGATAACATCACTGCAGCTCTTTCTTTTGATGAGCCATTGGGGAATAAGACAAGATAGCCTGACAGTGGGAAAGGAAGAGAAGGAGAGAGGAGGAAGTGTAAGGCAAAGTCAGTCTAATGGCCAAGGGAAAAGAAGAGAAACAACAAATACCAAAGAAGAAAGACAGAGAAGAGATATAATGTGACAAAAAAAGTTGAAGCAGAAAAATAGTTTGTGCAAAAAAAAAAAAAAAAAAAAAAAAAAAAACTTGGCTTACTATGAACTCTCAAAGAGACTGGTAAGTTTAGGTGAGCAGGGCAAGGCATCCATCATGTCTGTAGTTGAGTCCAGAGAGTTTAAAGGCCAGAGTTACAGTCATTACACAGACTGAATGAGCAGCTATGATCTCAGAGTCCCAAGAGCCTCCATGGAGCACAGGGTCACTTCTCCAATCCTATTCCATCACACCCAAATGGACAGGCTCAGTGGAAATGGGGCATGACTATAAATGCCATCAGCAGATCACGTTAGTAGCAAAGGTCAGGTCTGTCACTGCAAAGGTGTCGGCAGGGTGAAAGGTCACAAGGACAACCCACAGACTTACCGTCTGAGCTTGGTGCAGCATATGGATGCACTCATTGGCAGTTCCTGATTAGAGTGCTCATGTTTCTGATAAAACAGGACATTTCTATCATTATGTGACACCGCTTTGTATCCTCAGGTGGCTCATTTAAACTGAGTCGTTTTATCCTACTGGGTAACTGGGTTGAAAACAAGAGGAGCTTTTGTAGCTTGCGTGGACTGACAAAGTAAAAAGTCATTATTTTCCACTGTTGTGTATTTAAATGGATTTCAGTAGGGTGAATGCATTCAGGACCACATTTCCTCATCACAGGAAAAAGCAGGAAAAGCCCAAAGTGAGCACGTTATTCAATTGTGTTACTTCATGTTGTTAATTTATTGCAATACTGATGGACATCTGAATGCAGTAGTACACGGCTCATATATGGTTAAAAACAACAACTGATGTGACAATATGTTTTTGGAACTGCCATATCTGCTAATAAAGCACACCAGGGTAGATCACTTTTCACAAAACTGGACATTTGGTTCAACAGTAAACTCCCTGGGAAAAGTATAATGTGTAATGTATGGGTTTTAAAGTGAGATAACACATATTATGATGGTTATGAAAGTAACTAAAACATGGAAATGAAGAGACTGAGTCAGACATATATTTTTGGCATCAAACAGATCAGATTCCTCTGTAAAGCAGAGCATTATGTCAAATTACTCCACTGCTATATGTGTTTGGGTAATTTCTGATGTCACTGAAAGGAACTTACATTAAGTTGATGTAAAATAAATGAAACATCAAGTATTTTTGAGCGAAACATTGTTCAGCTTCTATACCATCCTACTCTTTGTATGTAGAATATTAAGCTTTTTTTCTCATGTAAATAAGCGGCAGACACACTATGATGACATTATGCATTTTTGTTGAAAGCCCTGTGGCAGGTTTAAACAAACAAGCCCTGTGGCAGCTTCAAACACATTGCAATTGCTGAGTAGAATTGATTTTCTGCTGAGCTCTGTTGTGCTCTGAAGAATGACAATACCACACTGGAAGAGGATGCTCCTCTGACATGGGGAGTGCTTTTAAATATTGTGCAATTTGGGCTAAAATGGTCCCTGCTTTTAGCAATAATTACAAGGTTTTAAGTGCATCAGAGTTAAGGAGCACAACAATGATGCCATAGCCACTGGTGTTTATAATAAACAAAAAGACGACACCAAATTTCATGAATACATGCCTCAAG